AGAGGTAATAGTACATCTACCCTGACTGGTATCAAAACAAAATTTACCAAGGAAGGTTTAATGTGATGACGAATTGTTGCTTTGAACGCATAAAGGTGGTTTAAACTTTCTAATTGCTAGGGCTTCCACAAACTTAAGGATACACCCTCCCCCAAACACGTTTTATAGTTAGGTTTAAAAGATCTGTTAACGTCAATTTTATGTCCTGTCTCCTCTATAATATGTTTCGCAATAGAGGAGCTAGGTCTCCTGTTCTCACCATTAATAGGTTCTGAAGATTCCATTTGTTTCTGGAGTCATTTAGGAATATGCTCTGAAGCCCCTATGTATGTGTGTCCACACGTACATTCAAATTGGTAAATACAACAGTGGGATGTGACATCATTTTTCGCATGTTCAAAGGGCTTAGATGGATGATAGATGGATATATTGGCTTTACATTCTCTATTATTATGATATTGGCTGCATAAAAAGTCTTTTTGACAGCAGCTTTCAATCTTTGTCTAGTTATCAAGCTGCCTGTTATGATGCCCCATATAGGGTAGGTAGCTTGATGTACACGTCTTTCTTAGGGGCGAGTTGAAGAGTGAGTAGGTCTTGGTGTTCCACTGACTACTACTTTATATCTCCTGATCGATCAACTTGTTTGGATAATTGTTATCAACCAGAGTTTGTGTCAACTTTCTTTCTTCCTTCCTCATCGTCAAGTGTGTCTGTCTTCAGTGCATATTAAGCTACCGATAACATCAAAAAAGGAGATGAATTAAATACTCATCTCTACTGATTTATATCGTAATCAACATCAAAGGAAAGGGAATTGTGAGTGAGTGTGTTTGTGTGTGTGTGTGTGACGTGCATAAAATTAGCATAACGGAAAAGATAATTAATTCACTTGCAAACAGTTTACATTGCATCAGTGATTCAATAATAACACTCGAGAATTAATGCTTGCTTATTTATTCACTGAGTACATCTCAAAAAATGTAAACAACAAACAACCAAAATCTTTTGATGTGGTTGTGTTCTCTCAGTTGGATAGTCAATTTCCGAAGCTTTCATTGCCCCACCATTAGGCTTTGCCGTTAGATAAATATCTATAAACCACGCCCAGCTCACCTTAGTTGTTGGATATTGATAAGTCTTCATACTTAATGTGTACATTCATGATATATGTTGATGTCGTTATACGAGATAAATGGCACAACTGGAAGGATTTGTAGATTCCTCTTCATCCTTCATCCTGATTCGCCCTCACATATGTTTCTACGAGAGATCTCAGCACGGATATAGAAGGCTCGTTTGGCATTCACCTGACAACTTACGCCATCTCTGGCTTAGTAGACGTGATATCCGGCTGTAGACGCATGTGTACTGCACACCAGTTCACTCAATCCTCCTTCATGGCTGTGAGTGAGACATGGCCCCCATTGGAAAGGGAAGACATGAAAAGCCTGGCTATCCAGCTGGCTGTCTTTGATCATAGGTTTTCTTCTGCGTTCCATCTCCCGTGTTAGGTGGTGGTATATTAAGGGTGAGCAATATTGAGGTGAGGCATCGGTCGAGTGAAACTGTAAAAAGCTCCCACTGTTGTCACCGACTTTCTCATCAAGCAATGCTAGTTGACATAGGATTGGGTCGCCAAAGATTTAGGTTATTTCAGACGATGGGTGTCGGGGTCGAGTCCCACTCCGCCTAATTCAGTCTGGACAACTAGGTAGTGCCACCAGCCCTCTTAAGATAAGTATGACCCTTAACCTCGGGATAACTAAGCTTCAACATAGTCTGTGATTGATAATTTATCTGTCCTTACAGAAATATCACTTTGTCATGATGACATTATTATTATTATTACTATTATCGATTATTGACTTTCATTTTAATCAAGTTGTGATTAATCCAAGATTTTGGTTAAGATATGATGGAGAAGATTTGTAGCTCAGGTGGATGATTTTGATGTGGTTGTGTTCTCTGAGCCACTAGCTGGATGGTGGTTTATTTGAGAAGCTTTCATCACCCCAACACTAGGCAACATCATCACCTTAACGCATACTTCAATTCGAATTGAAGTGAGCTTTCAGATTTCTCCACGAGTTCACTATTAGTCATCTCTCCCAGTGGGTGACCTTGAACGTGACTCTTTGGTTGTTCTTTGTGTGTTTTCACACCCTCTAGACAGCTACTTGTATTCGAACTGATTGTTTCTTTGACTTGAACTTTGACCCTTTGTGTGTGAGATTTCCTTCTTATCGGTTGGTAAATTTTGTCTATCTCGATGTGTCTATTGATTGATGATTCATTGGAATACCAGGCTTCTAAAAATTCTCTGGCTAGCATTCTTGGTATTTCCTCTGTGAACGCTTTACCAGTTGAATTGATTTCCGTGGTTGTCTGTATGTAGTGAGGCGATATGAGGGAGTGGATGTCATGTCTTTTGATGGCTAGTTTATGTTCATGGATACGAAGACGAAGGGGACGTCCACTTTGACCAATGTAGTGTTTCTCGCAGTCGTCGCAATTTATTTTGTACATGATATTGGTTTTAAAATTCAACTGGGACAACGAACGTTCAAATACTAGACAGAGGAAATACCAAGAATGCCAGCCAGAGAATTTTTAGAAGCCTGGTATTCTAATGAATCATCAATCAATAGACACATCGAGATAGACAAAATTTACCAACCGATAAGAAAGAAATCTCACACATAAAGGGTCAAAGTTCAAGTCAAAGAAACAATCAGTTCGAATACAAGTAGCTGTCTAAAGGGTGTGAAAACACACAAAACAACAAAGAGTCACGTTCAAAGTCACCCACCGGGAGAGATGACTAATAGTGAACTCGTGGAGAAATCTAAAAGCTCACTTCAATTCGAATTGAAGTATGCGCTGAGGTGATGATGTTGTCTGGTGTTGGGGTGATGAAAGCTTCGCAAATAAACCACCATCCAACTAGCTCAGAGAACACAACCACATCAAAATCATCCAACTGAGCTACAAATCTTCTCCATCATATCTTAACCAAAATCTTGGATTAATCACTGCTTGATTAAAATGAAAGTCAATAATCGATAATAATAATAATAATGTCATCATGACAAAGTGAAATTTCTGTGAGGACAGATAAATTATCAATCACAGACTATGTTGAAGCTTAGTTATTCCGAGGTTAAGGGTCATACTTATCTTAAGAGGGCTGGTAGCATTACCTAGTTGTCCAGACTGAATTAGGCGGAGTGGGACTCGGCCCCGACACCCATCGTCTGAAATAACCTAAATCTTTGGCGACCCAATCTTATGTCAACTAGCATTGCTTGATGAGAAAGTCGGTGACAACAGTGGGAGCTTTTTACAGTTTCACTCAACCGATGCCTCACCTCAATATTGCTCACCCTTAATATACCACCACCTAACACGGGAGATGGAACGCAGACAGAAACCTATGATCAAAGACAGCCAGCTAGATAGCCAGGCTTTTCATGTCTTCCCTTTCTACTGGGGCATGTCTCACAGCCAGGCAGGAAGGAGGATTGAGTGAAGTGTCAGTACACATGCGTCTACAGCCGGATATCACGTTTACTAAGCCAGAGATGGTGTAAGTTGTCAGGTAAATGCCAAATGAGCCTTCTATATCCGTGCTGAGATCTCTCGTAGAAACATATGTGAGGGCGAATCAGGATGAATGATGAAGAGGAATCTACAAATCCTTCCAGTTGTGCCATTTATCTCGTATAACGACATCAACTATATCATGAATGTACACATCAGGTATGAAGACGTATCATCATCCAATAACTAAGGTGAACTGGGCATGATTTAGAAATACTCATCTAACAGCAAAGCCATGCTATGCATTTCATTATACATGGCCTACATCCGATCACAAAGTTGACCAGAAATGGTCTGACACCCCCACACACACACGATAATAGAACATTTAGTTTCTAACCTCACTTCTCAGTTGGCTAAATAAGTGTATAATTCTAGTGGACATCCAGCAGGTATCAGTTTTCATTCGTTACATCCCGACTGGAACATACATCTTCCAAGGTGGAATTTTCAGTGGCAGTGAGAGCTTTTCAGTTTAACGGGATGCACTTGTTAGCCTCACGCGTCCAATCTGCACTCTTTTCTCAACTAGTAAACTATAGTCCAAGTGCAGGAGTGTATCCGACGGGAATTCAACCCGGACTTCCCCTGTGGATTATTCCGTTGTTAAGTGAAATTTGACGATGAAAGAAAGTAAAAGTGATCTGATTCAAAATCCATCGACCGTGATGTTTATTCAATTGAGTAATTACCTGAAATCGTATCAGGTATGTGCGTCGGTGACACAGCGGTAGAGTGCTCACCAACCACACAGGTGATCCGCTGTTCGGTCCCCGACCACTGGACGCACTCCTTTACCTTGCTAAGCCAGTAACAAGATTGGTAAAGACAGAAGGTTGGGCGTGAGGCTGCTAGCAACCCCATCCTGTGAAAAATAAACACAGAAACCTGAAGCCTCTAGCTTGAAGGCACCCTATGTTCCACTGGGAACGTGAAGGAATAAAAACAAAATGGGAGATTAGAAACCCCGTGTCTATCTCTCATCCAGACAAAGGTCGAGTATTTAAGAGAATCAAATATGACTCGATCGGCGCATAGCTAGCTGATTAGTAACTTTTAATATCAAAATAAGATTACATCATCACGAATCAAAAGAAAAATCAGTCGACGACCTCTGAGAAAGTTGACAAGATCAGCTGTACAAAGCTAAACGGAGTAATCTTTAAAAAAATAAATAACAAACATTGGCAGCTATATGAAATAAATATGAGCACAAACACTTTTTCTCCCAACTATCATATCACAAAGCATCAAACTGATTTTGTACACCAAATCACCTAGAATGAACGAAACACGTGAAGCAATACAATGACAAATTATAACAATAAACCCCGGATACTGAACTGCTATTATACTGACCAACTACACGCATGATTGTTAGTCTGTAAAACTACTGCTTACCATAAAGCTAACAACTTCCCGCTCAAATGAATTGATCTCAACTGATCCGTCGACTGAATGCCGAATTCCCACTTGATTTCATCAAGTAGTGGATGACCAGACTTTAGTACTAGACAAGGATGATTGCATACAGCTTGAAAGTATCGTACAGCTTGAAATCCATGTGAGACAACTACGGAGGAAATGTAGGCTGACTGTTGTTTACCAGTGAAAGTACTATCACTGCGACTGCCGGCACTGCCATCAGTTGAACCGACGATATTCATCAGCTGTTTTCCTTCATCTGTCTTTTGGAATGATTCATACAGTTTACGCTGTATAATGGGGAAAAAGTATATTTGAAATAATCAATTAATTTGAATAGAGAGAATACAGACGTCAAGCCTACATCCTACAGACAAGAGAACAACTATTCTGATTGAATAAGTAAACTGTGGTAAATAAGGGGAGAAAGTAATTATAAGATAGCTTCTGCTTAAAAAAACAATGTTAATAACTCTCTGTGGAGAAGGATTAAAGGACATAGCGAATGAGGAGGAGGGGGAGGAGAAACACATCAAAGAGACACCTGTTTAGAAGATAAAAGGCTCTGTGATAGGGTTACACATTAAATCAAAAGTCAAACTTGATCAAAAAGACTTAAAAGAAATTGGACAGGAAACAATTTTGCGTACTACTAGTAATTGATGTGACCATTAGTCTACTAGGACCAACCGATCAAATCCCTGCAAAACCAACAATTGATCTGAATATCAATCTGATGCTCACTAGCGGCGACTGACCCTATTCAGGTAGGCAGGTAGGTAGGGAGTTATCTAGGTTCTAGTGGGAAGTCGTGACCAGTGGAGTGGGTATAGCATATGGCCGGGTGTGAGGAGTAATACTAACCACCGATGACAGTAGTGGCTAGTGCCAGTCCCACTATATCGTGCGTTAATCGGCAGAAGTTCGAATTCATGCACTGACTGGCCATTGGATTGGCGGGTCCCAGTGAATGGCTTAATGGTCTACGAGCTAGCTCGCCTTGTAACCAGATGGTCCTGGGTTCGAACCATGGTAGTGGGGTGGCGTTGTGCACTGATGAAGAGTCGCGAACGAGGCTGACGAAACAGGCTCCAGTGCTGATTTTCCAAAGGTTCTCTAACCGATACCAGTTCAGGATGAAATCCTACGCTAAAATGTTATATTTTATTATTAATAAAGCAAGTACCACTGATTACTCTCCAGTGATCAACCATTGGGGATTGAAAGAGCTTTTTTCGACTGTTAATCATAACATTCAGTGTCATCTGAATAATAATAATTTACAACAAACACTTTGTGTCAATGATTATGAACATTGAACGTTTGTTTATTGGCTTTGGTCACCGTTGGCGGGTAACTTGAACGCATGAGTGATTCGATCGTTTACAAGTTAGAAGAAGACCAAAGAATACGAATAAAAGTACAATATATTCCTTGTAAAAACATTCTTTTTTATAGACTCAGTACAAAATATTGATTTTAACAATCGAAGAATAAAATTTTTTGTCATTCATTGTATTTTGGAATTAAAGTCGAGATATCTGTGCTTAGTGGTTGTCAATTTGGAGTGTCTTCGGAAATAACAGGATCTTAGGATTAAGTTCCTTGACACCTTGTTTAATTCAGTTTATATTTTCCCGGCGATTGATTGGACTGAAGTGCTCGGTCTTAGGTTGACATTTCAGCTCGTGGAGCAGATGCTTCGACGACGTTTGATCACGTAACTTGAAGTCATTTGGTCGATAGTGACTAGAAGTGGAATCGAGGATAACGTGCATTTCTTCCTCCATTTGGGATTGACTCGTCAGCCAGTGGATGTACCTGCATTCCCCAGTGAGTCAGTAATGGTGTTCCCTCCACCGAGGCTCGAACCCAGTGCCCATAGTTTCAAACGTCAAAGCGTCACTATCCACCAAGGATCCGAAATATCAGCTTGAGACCGAGCACTTCCGTCCAGTCAATCGATGGGAAAATCTGAAAATGAAATAAATAATTAATAAGACCTGTTGCACAAAAGGCAGTGACTCTCGAGGCCCAAGTGGTCTAGTGTTTAACGCTTTGGCATCTGAAACTATGAGCACTGGGTTCGAGTCTTGGTGGAAGGAACACCGTCATTTCCTAACTGGGGAATCCAGGTACATCCAGCTGACGAGACAGTCCTTAAGAGAAGAGTGAAATGTGCTCTATCCTGTGCTTTATCATTACTGTGATAGGGTGTTACATGGATAAAAGTGAACTGGAAAACTTGAAATAATCTACGTGTGATTACAGCGGAATTTGTAAATATTCCCATTGGCAATATTGGAAAAAGATATATTAGCAAACAATATTGTTGTTCTCAATTAGATCTTCTTCAGGCTTTACTCTAGTTCACATAGATTTATATATAAAACAGAATTTAACCTATGACTGTGAGTTTGTGGATCAAATAATAATAATAATAATAATGTGTTAAATGTTTTGAACGTCAATAATAAGAATGATTATAATGATAACAAAAGGAATGATAACAAGGTTTACGCATGTGGCGATAACAAGAATAACAAAAGTCACATCCTAAAAAGTTACGTAATACTTAAGGCTAAGTGGACAAATAATCAGAGTTTAAATAAATATCATAAAAGTACGGAGGAAATGGAAAATAAGAAAGGGTGGGCGTTATTTTTATTGGAATTTAACTAGGCCAAGGCAGAGACAAAGGTGGAACAAACTTCTTTTGTTGTATGCAAAGACACTAGGATTGTTCTCTCGAATTGATTCCCATAGCTTCGGCTATGTGTTTCGCAGACGTGTTCGAATTGTGCTCGAAAGGTTTGATGGGATGCGACAGATAGCTCTGAAGGCTCTTCTTCTGTCCACTTGGTGACCGCTATCAATCAAATCAGTCAAAATAAACTTTTTATAAATTTTATTTCGCCTTTTCCCAACCATGAAGGAAGATGCTCAATAATACGTTTGTTGAGCTGTCTAGTTGTTTGCCCTATATAGCCAGCTTTCTCCGCGGGAAAGACAAATTCTTAGATACGCACAGAAGTGGCACGGCTAGCTAGCCAGCTTCTCTTTCTTTTGAGCAGTCGTAATTGGCTGGCAACTGAAAAGTGACAAACAAAGGGTCGCAGCGGTATAAATCCACTTTATTGCTCTCGATAATCTTAGATGTAGGACTTCACTAGCCAATTCCCCACTAAATTGCAATTTTATGAACTGTTGTTTCCTTTTAACTGTTATCAGTCTCTCTGGTGTTCATGTGTCTGCTTATACACATACTAGGATAACCCATTTGTACCAGCGTATTTTGGACATGTCCTATTTCATTTTCTAGCGTCATCTGTACAGATACGTCTTGCTCCATTCGTAAGGCATCTGACCAAATTGATTTTGTATCAGATTAGTAGAAAATTGAGGAAATGTGTATATTGTCCAACAGATGTGGGTTTCCCGTAGACATCTCCCTTCAGTGAACCATCCTCTCTTCTGCTCAATTGGACGTCAAGGAAATGTAGTCTACCATCATGTTCTTCTTCACAAGTGAAGATGAGCGATGGATGTGCATCATTAAATTTTATTAACATTTCATTCTTGTCAGCTTTCTCATCAAGAATAATAAACGTATCATCAACATAACGAAAATAAGAATCCATTTTATCTATTACTTGTTTCAATGGACCATTTTCAGCCTTGGCAAGAAGGAGATCCGCCAAAATTGGCCCAAATGGAGAACCCATGGCAATACTGTCGATTTCTTGGTAGTAAAGGTTGTTGAATGTAAAGTGTACATTCTGAGTGCATCTTAGTAGCAGTTCTTTCAGACTAATAGTTAGAATTCCGATATCAAACTGCTTTTCTAGTATTGTTGGCGTATGAATTCCACAGTCTCCATATGTGGTACATTGGTGAACACTGATGCGACATCTAAGGATAGCATTTGCTTCCTGTTTACATGGACATGAGGTCAGTTAGAAATGAATTCAAGGACGTCTCTTCCATGACCTAGGTAAGTTATAATTTAAAATCCTTCGACTCACGCTCATTTTCCATTTCCTTCGTACTTTTATGATATTTATTATTTAAACTCTGATTATCTGTCCACTTCACCTGCAGTATTACGTAACTTTTAAGATTTGACCTAATTTATTTATTTAGTAAATTGTCTACATATACATATATTACTACCTTCGTTGTTCCTCTTATCGCCACCTACATAAACCTTATTATCATTACTTTTGTTAACATTATGATCATTCTTATTACTGACATTCGAAACATTTAACACATTTTCAATAGTTGGTTTGCAAGGATTAAATTTGTTTCTACGAGTTTGACCACCGACTGATATTGTTTAGAGGAGAACCATTGAAAACCAGCACTGTTCCGTCAGCCTAGTTTGGGAATCACGGGTAGTACGCACGCACCCCACTGCCAGGGTTCGAACCCAGGACCTTCAGGTTACAAGGTGAGCTAGCTCGTATACCATTCAGCCACTGGGACCCGATTGAATGGCCAGTTAATGAATTCTAACTTCTGATGTTCGCTAGTGACTTGCCAGAGGACGGAGTTTCCTGTCCTGGAGTTCTAGTGAGAACTCGTGAGCGGTGAGATCCAACTAGTCAAGTGTGACGATGGAGTTCCCATAGATGACATTAGTTGGTGCCAGTCGCGCTAAATGCATCACAAATTGGTAGAAGTTAGAATTCATGGACTGGTCATTGACGAGTCGGGTCCTACTGGCTGTATGGTGAATCATTTTGCTTATCTTGTAACCGGAATATCCTGGGTTCGAACCCCGTCAGTGGAATGGGTGCGTACTGCCGATGATTCCCAAACTAGGCTGATGAAACAGCTGGCTGTCCAGTACTCCGGTGCTGGTTTCCAATGGTTCTCTAACTGATCATATCAATCCATGTCAAAATTCATAAAAATAAAATAAGTTGTTGCTACTCGAAAAGAATATTGACGAATTTTCATACTGTAGAATACAAAATGATTCGAGAATGAACATAGAGTGTAGAGGGTTAGGAAAATTTCATACATAAATAAGAATAACTGAATCAATCGATCAATTTGACGACCTTCATTCATCTCAAGGTTTATTTAGGCATGTCCGTGTGTGTGTCACTCACTAATGTTTCTCAAATATCATTTTGAGTGACAGACATACGTACTTTGACATGAGTTTGATATTCTTTTGATGGGAATCAGTTTTGCGCTGAAAGCACATACACAAATATTTCAAATACTTTTT